CCGGATTTGTGCTTCTTGTGTTTTGCTTTCTTTTGTATATCTGTTAATGTTTCCCTCCTTTTATCCTTAAAAAAAAAAAAAAAAAGAAACACTTTGTACCATACTGCTTTGTAAAACGATGGCTACTGGTGAACAATGACTGTCACCATTGCAAAGAAAACACACTACAAGGCTATATAAAATGCCAGTATTTTACCTGAATATGGAGAAGACTACATGATTTCTTTTTCTTTAAATTCTCCAGGTTTTTCTGAATTTTATTTATTTTTTCTGAATTTTATTTACAAGTAGCATTATTTACAATTAGCATTTACTTTTATTATAAAACAATAAACAATCCTACTTCATTAAGGGTAAAAAAGTAAAAGCCAACTCTTCAGACAAGAAGTGAAGCTGCTACTCTCATCTGTGCGCCCACACTCTTCCTGACGAACATTGAGCACGGACTGGAAGCAGAATCACCCACAGGCAAAAGGAGACTCCTGGGTTCTACCATGAACGTTTTCATATATCCTGTAGGTGCTACTCACATTTTAAAGCATTTTCTTCAAACACACAAAAATCAAACATTCTCCTTTCATACTCTTCCTATGCATAGGCACACACATACCTGAGAGCATTTAGAAGACCTTCTACACTATTAGGAGGTTGGTCCTTAAGAACTTTGATACAACCTTTCATCTATAGAGAAAAGCAAATGGAAAAAGTAAAATGTCTGTTTTTTATATAACATTAATTTTCAAAACAATAAAACAAAATCAGGACTACAACTATTGAACTTGGAAGACCACAGACCAAAAATATCAAATTATTCTTAGCAATAAAAGAAAGAGAAAAAAAGCTCTACATAGTACTATTTTTTTCAGTTTATCAGTGAAACAAAACTTTTTGAGAACCAAATCAGTCAAAGTATCACCCATACTAAGGAAAAGCAAAGGCTTTTGTTTTTTGAGTTTTTTTGCTAAACAGCATCTTTCTTATTAAGCAGCAACTTAAATATGCTAGCAAGGAAAAGAGGAGCTTTCCAGGCAGAAGAAGCCCATGGCATGCAGAGCACAGACAGAAATCTTTCAGGGCTGAAAGAAGAATTAGCATTGTGAAAACCAGGATGTCTCTCACTTGCGTGGCCAGCAAGGCAATAGGGACTCACCACAAGCTACTAAAAAAGGGAACAACTCAATGAAGACTGAGAAGATTAGCCCGGTTACAATAAAAAAGCACAGCATGATAGAAAGAACATGGCCTTTAGAAGCCAAAAATATAAAGGTTTAACCTCCTATTCTACTGTTTACTACTAATTCTATTACTTAATTTCGTAAAACCCAGTTGCTTTGTTAGTGAGAGGGAGACAACACCTACATCCTAGTACTTTCAGTTACATGCAAGAACAGGTATAAAATTCCTGGGACACAGTAACTGCATGACAAATATTAACTCCCTTTTTTTTTTATAGGATAAATGTACATGAAGATACAGAGACTGGCTGGCCATCTATCGAGATCCAAAGTACTAAGAGCCTGAACTAGCTATGTAAGGGAAACTAGCAGAACATTCTCACCAGACACTAGTTAGAACACTGACCAACAGTGAGAGGGTAGCGATAGAAACTACAACACAAAGCAACCGGAAAATGACTTCACTTCTAAACTTCCAATGAGACAAGGAAAGGAAAAATCTAGCTATAGTTACAACCTAGTATGAATGGGCAGGGCGAAGAAAATAATTGAAATCTTTCACTTTTCCACTGAAGCATCACTAACTTTTTTATACACTTTGAAATAAATGTATTATTTAAAGTAGCCTTTAGCCAAAGGAATTAAAGGATGAAATTAGAAAATTTCTTCTATCCAAGTATTTATATTGCCAACATGTAGAAGGATCCCTCAAGGAGGTGCTCCACAATGCAGTTATCTTCAGTCACTTAACTTGAGCACAATACATGCTCTCAGAACTATGACAAGAAAACAGAAAATGAAAATCTACCATTATCACAAACCATAATGGAGTTCTGTGAGAGTCCAACCTGCATGCTCTTTAAATAAAAGCCTACAATTTTCATGTAAAAAATTATTTATAAATTATACAAAATACATAACTTACATCAATTTTGGACGTTTTGGCAAATGCTCCCACTGGATGTACATGGTCATACAGTATTATGACACCCACCATTACCCTCAAGCAGAATGATACTGTCTCTTCATTTGTAAATCTGCTTCTGTATTCCCTGGAGGATAGAACAGATGAAAACATCACAAAGCTCTTTAATGAGTTGATTCCACTACCAGTTGATACCTACCTACCCCTTCGATCTCTAAAAGGGATGCTAACTTTATGCCCCTTTCTCTATACTAAGGTCCCCAAAGTGAAGAGAGGGTGAAGGCACAGTAGTTACTATCCACATATTCTGGTCTCTAGAGAGTTGCACCCCTGAGTATGTTACCCCTTCTGCTTGACAGCACCTTAGTAAAAGTTTAGGGATGGATGCCACATAACGGCTATTGTGATAATACGATGAAAAAGTCACTAGCTTAATAGAGCAAGTAAGTTTGATATTTTAGGGACTAGGTTAGTCCAAATGTATTACTGTACTGCTTGATTTAAATTTTATTAAAATTCAGTCATACTCTTCTTTTACTTGGGAAAAAATGAACTTTTACATATGTAGAAAGCAGTGTGGCATAGTGGAAGGGGCCCAGGTCAGGGCCAAGGACATCCTGACAGGTGAGTAGGGCTGGCCATTGTGCTCAAGTCCCTTCACTTCCCAGGACTTTGTTCTCTCACTGAGGGAGAAGAACGATGACAGCTGCCATCCCACTTCATGAGGTTTTCCATAGAGAAGAGTACTTGGGAAATGGAAATACCACAGAAACACAAGTTACCACATATCATTCAAGAATCCAAAAGGGATTCTCTGCTTACTGACAGGAAAATCCAGTCAGTACACATGCTGGTACATACCACAAAAGCTTTGAGAGAGAGAGAAGATGCTGAGAAGAGAATTCAGGTTCATGTTGAAAAATAAAGGAACTAAAAGTCAGAAACGGATAAACAAAAAAATAACTCTAGCCTTTGGCAAAATGGCAGTGTTCACAGTAATTAGGGAGAAGGATGTTCACAGTAATTAGGATAACTACATATCTCCTCTAATCCCCTTCCCGGACCAAGACTACCAACAATTTCTGTGCTGGAGAGGCTACTGAATTAGTTCCACTGATCGGACGTTCCTGGAAACCACCTCTACACTTAATCAGACACTCAGCTGTAAAAATTATTTGCATTTTGTTTATATATGCATATGCAAAATAGCCAGGATATACTTAATCTCCACCTTCCAAATAAGACATGTTCACATCTGGGTGTTTTGATTTTTTTGTTTTTTTGTTTTTTTTTTTGGTTTTTCTCTGGTACCGGGAACCGAACTCACGACCTTGCGCTTGCCAGGCAGGCGCTTTTGCCGCTGAGCTAAATCCCCAGCCCACATCTGGGTGTTTTGAAATACCAATTTATCTTAACGGTACCGCTGAAGTGACAAAAGTCAGCTTTAATACTCACGGTGTTTCCAGCATGACTCTGCATACACTAGCCATGGTGCTTAAACAGTCGGTGGTATTTTCTATTGGTAAGTTTTTATTCTGTAAGTACATGGAAGACAAAAAAAGTAGCAAAATTATTAATATTAAATGTCAGAGACTATGAAAAATTAGTAGTTTATAATCTGACTCCTAATTTTCTACATAATGCCCTAGATTCCAAGCATTGCCCTGAGCTCTGCGGATACAGTCATGTGTAGAACGGCCAGGTCTCGATGTACTGAGAAGTCCTGGCATGCCAGCAGTGTGAGAACAGGGGGGGCTCGTGCCTCTACACGGCAGAGGGGTGACAGGGCAGCGGGGTGGGGCCTCTGTTGAAGGCCACATGGTACCTGGATTTTATTTTAAAGGTACAGGAAATCACCAGAAATATTTTCAGCAGAAGAGTGAGGAAATGTGGTTTATGCTTTAACATTGCTTGGCTGCTCCATACAGACAGAACTATATAAGGGGCAAGAGTGGACAGAGTAGAACAGTCAGAGCACAAATGCAGTGGTCCAGATGACAGTGGCAGTGGTCTAACATGGACAGGAGTAAGAGCAGAGGCTCAATTTTCAGATACACAGTATTTTTTCGAAGGAAAGCCAATAAACTATTCAATGATGTAAATGTAAGCAGCGGGTGAAGGAAGAAATTTAAAATGATAACCCTGAAATTATCTGTTTTGCTTATACACTGGTACTATGAAAACTGAGAGAGACAGGAGAAAGGACAGCGTTGGAAAAGACAAACGAAAGTCCAGTTAGGCCATATATGTGCTGCGCTGTCAACACTATCACTGGAGAGAAAATGCAATAGGTGGACAGATGTACACCTGAGCAACTCAAGGGAAGGCCAGCACTTTGCAGCTCCATTTGGGCACCCAGCTTATAGATGAGATTTACAGCTCTGGACTGCTGAGATCATCATCCAGAACAGGCGGAGGAGTGTCAATGCAAACCCTAACCTCCCAGGCGGCACTTGCCTCTGACACAAACTTTGTTGTAGCATCACTTAAGGTTTTCAACATCGGGGTCGCCTCAGCATAAAACAAAGACATTCGATTTGCCAATTCATTATTCACTTCATTTTCTCCTTCTGCCTGTGTAGAAAGTTTGAGCATCAGATATCAGCCCATCAATTACTAAATACGGTATTTATATTTACAAAAGGATCATGACAGTACTTACCTCATTAATGCTTATTAATCTAATCTAGTAAATATAGTTAATAAATTCAATTTTGGATCTTCACATGCATATAATACTTAAATATTCTTTAAAAATAAAAAGATTACAAATGATACTTAGCATTTTTTAGAAGATTAATAATTTAAAATCTATAAAATATTTTAAATGCTATTAAGGAATTAAATAAAGCCTTGATGGATTTCCTACTATATGCAAGAGACTGTTCTACACGTGATAAAGGGAAGAAAGATGACTCTGACACTGTACCCTACCCTCATCGTGAACACACCAGCGTCCCACACATCACAAGGAAATGTTAATAGGCAACAATAGGAAACAGAGTGAGAACAAGATTAAATTACACTAGAAGAAACTAAGGTCTCATGGAAGAATTAAGCTTTTGCAGGTGATGATGGACACATGAATGGATATTCCTATCCATCAGGTAAAAAAATAATTTCAAATGACTCCAGAGAGTATATTTCAGCATATGCAGAGTAAAAGGGGGCGGGTAAAAAGTAATTCTCGAAAGAGTAAGTTGGGGTCAGACTAGAGAATGCCCTCCAACACTAGTTTACGTTCACATTTTCCTCCCAAGTGGAAGGGTAATGAGCCATCTGAAGTGTTAGAAAAAGGGAATAGCAAGTCAGTTTTCTAAGAAAACCAGCTCATGATGGTAAGAAGGTTGTGCCACAAATGAAAAAAGATTGCAGGTCAGAGAATACGTTATGCTGTTACAGAATTACGGTCCCAAAGACTGAGAATTGGGTTCTCAACTGCCATAGCCGAAGATAAAAAAGAAGGCTGGGGAAGAAATTTGAGAGGCACCTCACTGGAAAACTATTGGCATTATCTGTAATTACTGATTTTGAGTTACAGTACAAAACGTCTTCTTATGCTTGGCCTTTGAGTCATGGCTATACTAAAAGATTGAGTGTTTCATTTTTATTTTACATGGTAGATATTTATAAGACAGAGAAGGAGGTCAGCTCTATACTAGGAATTGGTCTGCGTAAAACCAAACTGAAGCAAATAACAAATGTTTAACAGAAAACAATTCTTGACTTCCAATCTAGAGTCTGTCTTAAGTGAACCACTTTCTAAGTGTATCTGCAATGAAAATGAAAAGTTCTTTTGGAGTTTTTTTATATCTTTCACACTAATAACCAATCTATACACAATTAAAAGTATTTCTCTATTGAACTACCTGAGACGACAGTTCATTTTTGAAATTTTGCCACTTTTCACACACAATGGAGGTCCTCAAAACACACAGGAAAATTAAAGTGTTCTTCATATTTAAAGTTTTACTTCTAGTACTGAACTCCTTAGAAGTAGGGAAGAGTACTTAACAGGAACTTAAGAAGAGGATGGCAAGAGATTATAGGCCTAAAGGAATCAGGAGAGAAGCTGTGCTAGCAGAGGAATAGGCCCAGATGCCATTTTCTTGTGAGCCACAATTAGGCACAGATGTGCTAACAGTCCAGGACTTCACTCTCCCCTCTTGATATTATCAGTTATTTTTCTTATTCAAGGTTAACTTCCTTTCAGGATTCTTTAGTTCTAAGAACATGAGGACTAAAAAAAAATACTCATAACCACTAACTGAAAAACTTTCTGTACAATTAAAATGAGAATACACAGACAGAAAAGGTTATAGTATCAATGTTACACAGACAAAAAGCAATCTTACTGAAGTAGTCATGGGGATTTAAAAGTTGGAGAGGAAAAACATCTAAACACCACATAGCCTGTTACAGTTTGCTCTTTGCTCCCACAGCTGTGGCTGTCCATAATTACTAACTTTAATACTAGCTTTAACATCTGAGCGAATGGGTCACTGAATGAACAAAGGAAAGAATAAAATGAAAAACGGAGTTATTCTTACCACCCCCCTAATTCAAGGCACTAACTTACTGGAACGTTATTAATCCTCATTCGACTCAACGTTCTTCTGTAGTAGCTGAAATCATTCTGTATGGCAGGATTTGTCATCTAAGGAAGGTATTTATGAAACAAAAATGTGTTATAGGCCAACAGCTAATGTAATAATTATCTATTATATATAGTTTTAACTAGCTATGCAATATTCTCTATTTTCAAAGTCATTTTAAATACGAATTTGTTTAAATAAATAAATAAATACATACAAATTTGGTATCCTCTAAGAAAGCTTAAAACACTGTACTTAGTCCTTCCTGAGCATATAAAATCATACAGATTGTTGTTCAGTCATGGACAGTATACTTTCTTTTCAATATTTTCAGGTAATACGCAAAAAGCTTATTTACCACAAAAATGGCTATTATCAAACAAAACCAAGAAAAGAATGTATGGGCATTTGTTTTGAGTAAAACTGTATGTGTGTGTGTGGGGGGGGGTGTATTTACTGCACAAGGCAATCCTCAAGCATACAAAGTTTTATATAAATATCTTTTGTACTCAAAGTATTAAAGAAAATTAACCATCTATGATACAACCATGAAATGTCATAGGTAGGAATCCAGCTCTCCCAGTTTCTACAGCGTGTACTCAAACCCCTGGGAAAATCAAAGGACACACCCAAGGCCTCACAATCACAGTGCCAGACCTACACTCAACTCGTCTCCTGCTGTGAAACCTGTACCCGCACATGAGTGCTGCACTATATAGAGCAAGAGAAGGGGGACAGGAAGCAGGCAGTAGTGGAGGGGGAGAACGGGCAAGAGAAATTTTAAAAACAATTTTATATAAAAGCTATTTCTAAAAAACCAGGAAGGAGTAGAAAAGAAAAAAAAAAGAATCTCAATATTATTGTTTCTGTGGTTCTAAAATGAAGATCAAATACTGGGTGATTTGTTATTTGCCATGTATTCAAAAAGGCTTCATATTTCAAAATCCAGCTTTTCACTATTTCTAATGTGCAGCGGACATCATTGTCTGAATACATTCTAACAAGTTTTCCAGGCTTTTCCTCCTAGTGCCCACTGAAAGAAATGATTTTCAAAACAACAGGCACCATTAGAAAATTCTACCTTAAGTTCATCGAAGCGGAGTGTGAAGTGAAGAATTTCTGCAAACTGTTTAGCAAGAGCCTGCTCTCGCTCTAGATGCTGGGTAGGAGAATATGGGGTACTGGTCAAGGCTCCCAGCAGGCCTCTTAATGCAGCTTCTAATGAAAAGAAGATAAACACGTTAAGTTGTTTGCATCTTTGCTGGTTGTTTATTGAAGAGTGGTTAAACTCATAAACGCTTTACTTTCAATTTCCAAAAAATTCTCTTTAAAAAAGATGCTCTCTGCAAAATCACACCAATTAAAGAAGTTAAAATTTTGCCACTGCTAGTGTATTACATACACTCAAACAGAACACAGTTTAATACACTCAAAACCTTAAAGTGACTAATTCAATTTTAAAATTCTCTAAACCCAGACTCAAAATAAAATGCAGACTATGAATTTGGAGTAAACCCTACAATTAAAGTTCAATTTTTATGTCAGTCTCATCCTTCCGCGTGGTGTGGAATTCAGTTTTATGAAGCAGTAACTCTACCTGTAGCTCTGCATAACTTCTTCCCTGGCACTGCGTCCACAGTCAACTGTGCACACGGCCATGACTGGAGAAGCAGCTTCTTAGACCTTGAGTATGCCACTAATGTATAAACAGAGGCTTTTTTTCCTCTTAGCTAGTAAGAAGAATAAAAAATCTACTGTAATAAGCTTCCTAAATAAGTATCTCTGGGTGCGGCATCTCAGAACCATAATAAAAATTTTCTAACTGTATGAGCAAAGTAGTCCTTTTAAATAACTCTCCCTTGGAAAATGAGACTTATACTGTGTCTAAAAATGGGAATACTGATATTTCACTTCAAAAAAGTCATATAACATAAACTCATTCACTTGTTTCGGGGTCAGAAAACAATGCTAGATTCTTACAGAGGGAAGTGGTAACATAAAATTAATAGGCATCAAAATAAACAAGTATTAGTATGTTAATAAATTTGTCAGATTATCAGCCCTTAAAAAAAAAACCTCTACCATTTATGAAGACCTAATTGTGAGCCAATATCCATTCTGTACACTTAACGTAGCTTTCTCATTTAATTTAATCAACTATAAAGGGCATTACAATGGATAAACATTGTTCGAAAATGGTTACAGCCAAAGGATATAGCTTGTAAATGCTGGGTGTTTCTGATCTTAAAGCCCCCCATAATAAACCACCTCCCAGATAAAGCAATCTTCTACCTAGCCTTCTGCAAACTTAGAAAATATCATACTGATTGCTACCAACAGTAGGTACTTCCCCTGCATCTATAATGTGCCAGGTACTGTACTAACGAGACATTTCAGGCTTTACTCCTCGTTACACAACATTTTATATGATAGCTATTATCCTGTTTCAGTAAATCAGAAAACCTGTTGACTCTCCCTCAGGCCCCGGGGAAAGAGATGAAGACGTTATGCCCAACGATAGCCTCACCATGTAGGGGAGAGACAAATGATCACAGGTGTGCTATGTGCTGTGTTGTGAAGGAGTACATGGTACACAGTACAGTGTAAAGAAACGCAGCGGGGGCCTCACTGCACTGAACGCTCCCTGCATAAGTGACAGTGGGCTGAGACTGAAGTGTGAGCGAAGAATGAGCAAGCATTTGCAGATAAACAGGGCAGGGAGCCAGACCCTGCACTGAGAAGGGCCTGAGACAGCTGAGGAGTGGCAAGACCAACACAGGCGGGATACAGAAGGAAAGGCAGTAATCAAAGACTAAGACAAGGGGCTGGGGATTTAGCTCAGCGGCAAAGCGCCTGCCTGGCAAGCGCAAGGTCGTGAGTTCAGTTCCTGGTACCGGAGAAAAACCAAAAAAGAAAAAAAAAACAAAGACTAAGACAAAATGCACACGCTCTGTGCCAATTATGCACCATGATCTTATCATCCCCATGTCCCTGGAGAAACCCTGTAAGCAGGGTAGTGACATCATGAGGCTAGCATTTTAGAACCTCATTCTGTCTGCAGTGGAGACTGGACTCTAGGGTACGGGTGACCTATAGAGGTATATTGATATGAATAAGATGAATCACAAGGCAAAATATTTCTTGGGCATAACGTCTTCATCTCTTTCCCCGGGGCCTGAGGGAGAGTCAACAGGTTTTCTGGTTTACTGAAACAGGATAATAGCTATCATATAAATGTTGTGTAACGAGGAGTAAAGCCTGAAATGTCTCGTTAGTACAGTACCTGGCACATTATAGATGCAGAGGAAGTACCTACTGTTGGTAGCAATCAGTATGATATTTTCTAAGTTTGCAGAATGCTAGGTAGAAGATTGCTTTATCTGGGAGGTGGTTTATTATGGGGGGCTTTAAGATCAGAAACACCCAGCATTTACAAGCTGTATCCTTTGGCTCTAACCATTTTCGAACAATGTTTATCCATTGTAATGCCCTTTATAGCTGATTAAATTAAATGAGAAAGTTCGCTTCTCCCAGGATTCATTTCACATGTTAGTGTTAGTGTACATGGAAGCGGTCTGAGCCAGGAGAACAAGAAAAGCTATTATAAAAAAAATAATTACAGGACGCTAAAGAGAAAAGGAAATTCGTATCATTTCAGGGTTAATTTCAGTATTCCAAGTGCTATACCACTTCAGGGAGTGGAAGCAGGCTAAGGTGGGACAGCCAGTGACTACAGAACTTCTGTCACAGAAGGTGGATGAGCTGGAAAGAAAGGGAGGTCAAAGAGATGATTTAGGGACCGGATTCTGAGGAACCTCAAACAAAGCCATGTAGCTAGGCATGGTGGTGAAAGCCTGTAATACCAGCACTCGGGGGGCTGAGGCAGGAGGAGCACCTCGAGTTCGAGGCCAGCATGGGCTACAGAGTGAGTCCAGACCAGCCTGAACTACACAGCAAGACCCTGTATCAAAAAAACAAACAAACAAACAGCCATGTGGTCAAAATTTTTAGAAAAAGCAGGTAAAAGAAGAAAACTATCAACTAACCCCTAAATTCTGAGATATACAGGGTAAGTAGCTGAGCCCACAGCAGGAGTCGAAGCTATACAGTGATGCTGCCAGGAAAACTTAAGTGGGAGGAATAATGCAGCCAAATGTGTTCACAGGCTAGAACAAGTTGGGGAACAATGGCAAAGAGTTCCCTTCAGGGACAACAACTGCCATCTCAAACACCAGTCTCTGACTCCTCAGAAGAAAGCGGAAGGATGTGCACCGGGGAGGGCTTAAGACCATCAACAGATACGGCCACAATTCTTAAGGAACTTTTTAACATTTTACATCAGTTTTGATAAATTTAGCCCAGTGAAAAGAATCCAAGTATCAGACTTCTTCATTCTGCATCCTGGAAGCAGTACCTGAAATAAGCCCCTGGAGCAGAAGGGAGACTGAGGCAAGACAAGGCAGTGACCACACGACTTTCCCACAGGCTGCTGCTGCAACAGGAACACCTCCAAGGCTTCAGACTAAAGAAGCGAGTGTAAGAAGCTTCTCGGGCTTAAACCTTATCATAAAAGCTCAGGGTCTTCCAAATTAGTCAACTATACTCTGGTTTCTCTTCAGATCATGTAAATCTTTCTCTTTTTACCAAATCAGTCAACTAACACCTTCCCTGACCCTCTATAAATATGCAAACCAGCAGAAACAGCTCAAGTGTCTGCGGGACACTGTCACAGCTGCTGCTATGTGCTTACTGCACAGTGTGACAATTACTAACTGCAGGCAGGAGGGGGAGGTGAGGGAGCCGCTGAAGGGTCATCAGCAACAGGAGATGGAGGGCAAGATGGAACATCGCCCCCACCCAATGCTGATGACACAGCTTTTCTGATCGTTTCAATTCTGTCTGCCCTCTTGAAAAAATGATCCAGTGACGCCTGATCCTCATTCTAGATCACTCTACCCCACCCTGCCTCCTGCAGTTAGTAACTCTCCTCTCATCAGTTTACTCCCTACAGTCCTTTATATACCAGCTGTACTATACTGCACCGCCATTTTAAGGTAACTATAAAAAAAAGTTTATTTATAGTGTTTCTGTTGTGTGTTTGGTTTTTTAATGTTTTACATTGTATATCTGTGTCACTTTGTTGGACTTATGAACAAATTTGACTTTCTCCTGGATAGAACTCATTTGTAAGTCAGAGACTTACTGTATTTGATACAACAAATGTGTGTATCCATTGGTATGTCACTCACTTATTCAAAAAATACTGAGTATCATGAGCAAGTAAGAAATGCATCTCCTTCACAACAAGGAAACTAGAAACTACAAAGTTACTAAGAGATGACAGTAACTTAGATTCTAAATTGTACTTTACTCACAACATTACAGAAGTTTCTAGAATACAGTAATGAAGGTTCAAGTCTCCAGAATGACAGCAGGAAGAGGGCCGATTGTGTTATCATCTCTTCACCGAAATGAGTCAATAGTGCTCACGATGCGACCAACACACATCACCAGATGTTTAACCCATGGTTAAGATGTAGGAGAGCCTTTAAATCCAAACAGTGTGACCTGTTTCTAAATTATTCTTTTATTGCTGACATATGCTAACAGATCAAGATAGCTTCAGTAGAAATTTAAGCCTTCTGAGTGATTTTTATATACAATTGAGTACTACTCTGCCATAAAGAAGATAAACTTGAGACATTTCTAGGTAAATGGATGTAACTTGAGACTATAATTTTTAAGTGAAAGAAATCAGACATTCATGCATAAATAATGCATTATTTCTCTTGTGTGAGAAACCAAAAACATAAATAAGGACCAAAATGGATTTGGAAGTAGGAAGAAAATGTTCAAATGGGAAAGGGAACGAGGGAAGGGGAGAGGGAGGAGGAAGGAAAAAGGGAAATAAAAAATAGGAAAAAATGGAAACAAACTTGTGTAAATAAGGAGGGGTAGAAGGGTTGAGGGAAGGGAAAGAAATGGGAAAAACACAAGAATCAAAATTATGTACAGTTACAACTTCCTCATGATGAACGTGATCATTCTGTATATCAAAGGTGTACCAAAAATAAAATTTTAAAAAGAGATCTTAAAAAAATAAAAAGAAATCTAAGCCTTCTAAAACACTTGAACTATAAACACAGCTAGAAACCAGCAGCATAAGAAAAACTCTCAGTATGTATTAGTCAAGGTAACCAAGATTAAGAGACAGGCTGACAGGTTCCAGAGGGCTACAAAACTACAAACTACACACATGATTGACTAAAAAGCAAATACCGTAAAAGAACTAACGGTCATACTTTAAAATCTTACAGTACTATAAATTCTTATTTATAGTAAGCTAAAGGTAACTTATACAATCCCAAATTTCTATCCCAACTTTTGTTTTACATTTAACAGACTGGTGAAGTTATTAAAATTTTTGTGTTCTTAAAAACTGTATGGTAGGCGATGTACCACTTCTACCAAGTGGTTTCAAATATTAAGATTCTTTAGCATGCAAAGAAATTAAAGAGACTTCCTTGTGGAAATTTATAATTTGGAAGAAGATGTAAATAATTCAAAGGTCAACAGAAATGACACCAACATTACACTGTAACCTTATAGCCTGGTTTACTTATATATCAAATAGTAAAATTCAGTACTACAAACGTGAAAGAGTTTGATAAACACTGGCCTTAATAAATGTTCTTCACTAAGGAGTCATAATTACAAAACTTTCAACTTACCTAACCTCTGAGAAAATTCATAGAATTTCTTTAATTTGCCTACTAACGGAACTACCGCACCCCACGCTTTCTCTTGCAGCTTCTCATCTGCTGGATGTTGGATTGCCTTTAAAATCCGAAGAATAAAAATAGTTAAGATGTTTTAAACATCAAATGATACCATTTTTACATTAAAATACAGATTTTACAAATGAATAAAAACCCTCAGTAGTTCTTCAAAAGGACACCTGAAAATTTGGCAATAAATGAAGAAGACAATTCTGGGAACTGGTTCAGAGACAACCAATGATTCAATTTCCATGGTCCAAACAAGCTCTAAGAAACCTTGCAAATACTCAGAACCTTAATCAACCTAAAAAATATGATACAGAAACTGCTGCAACTGCTTATTCTCTGTAACTAACATCCTAGTCCAGATTTCAAGTTTTCTCAAGCTTTCCTCAGTAAGATGATAAACAGTAAGTCTAAAATCTGAAAGAGGTAAAAACAAAACATAATGTGGAGATCTTTAAAATAAATACAAATACGTTTTTTCTAAACCACTCTTATAAGCCATTAGGCAGCTTTTCCTGACTACTGAGGGTTATTCTAAATAAACATTTTCTTGCTTCTTTCTTTTGACTACAGATACTTTTCTAATCTATTACAGAACATAATGCTTTGCTTTCTCTAACATCTTAAAAAAACACAGTCTGAAGTTGAAATTCACAATCATGGTACCAGGAGGTACCATGCTTAGATTTTCCCATCACCACTAACACCATACAAAAAAATACAAATCAACAACAACAACAAAAAAAAACCCTGAATTTAGGAAGGATTAAAGAGTGCTGTAAATAAATTAGCTACAAACTAAATAAATGGGCTATGAATTGCTTAAGCAATTTACACACTTGTATTTCTAAATTTTCTTAGGTTTTTAATAAAAATACTTGAATGCTTAAACCTAGTAAGAGTTTGAAATCAATTTTATGTGATTACCCAGAAATACTATAATATTAAGAAAAATCTAACATCACACCAAGTAACACTCCTAACATGTCAGTCTTTGATGTTATATTAAAAAAACAAATCCGGGGCTGGGGATTTAGCTCAGCGGCAAAAGCGCCTGCCTGGCAAGCTCAAGGTCGTGAGTTTGGTTCCCGGTACCGGAGAAAAACCAAAAAAAAATAAAATAAAATAAAATAAAAATAAAAAAACAAATCCATTTAGTCTCAAGCCCAGACTTAATGTTTTATATCAAGTGGCATAAATTTATTTTACTTATTATTGAAGAAGTAAAAAGATGAAAATTAAAATTGCATTTACTTCTTGTGAAAAGCCCTTGCAACTTTCTTTGTGAGGGGTCTAGAAATGACTCGCTGAGGATGAATTCATTCACACAGTATGAAACTGAACATTTGTAAATGGAACATTACTCATTATTCCAAGTAACAGAATGCAGACAACCATTCTACAGTATCACTTGCATTGAGACTATCTTCATAAACAAACTAAAACTGGACAGCAATGTGCACTTACTAGCAAAAAACTAAACACTTTTTCTGTTGTCTGTGCTTTTTCATAGGTAGTATACTTTTTCACTCTCCTGAGCCCTACTAATTAATTGGTAATATTAAAGTCAATACTGATGACAGTTATGAAAATTGTATCGGTTCTTGGTATATCTGGCATATATTCAGCTTTTATTTGTATCTTCTTAATTTAAGCTAGTATTTAGAAACCTTTTCTACTTTTTATCATTAAACCTACATATCAACACGCATCTCAATGAAAATTTCTTCAAATGTTCAAACTGTAAACATATTTGCCTCCATTTATAGATTTATACCCAGCAACTTTTTAAAAGTAAAAGCTTGTATATTTTATTAGCATTATTATTATTAAAGCTTATATATTTTAAAAGTAAAAGCTTGCATATTTTATTTACCTACTTTCCTGCACTTTATTCTTTTTTAAAAAAAATTCTATTACTGAAGTGTAATCTCCAGACTTTTTAAAATTTTAAGAAAGGAAATTGCCCAGGGTGGCCGGGAATGGTAATCCTCCTGTCTCAGCTTCCCAAGTAGCTGGGGTTAGCAGCGTATACCACCATGCTCAGTCCTTCTGCCTGACAGTAAACATCCAGTCAACCATCATATCTCTTGAACTGTCACCTTCGAGAGTCTGCACTGTACTCTGCCTTCTCTAGTACTCCACCTCTCAAAAGAGAAATTAAGTTAAATAGGGACAATAAGCCTAAAGCATTGATCCTTGATGACCTCTGTACTATTTGTTACTGAGAATAACAAAAGCAGAGAGTGGAGAAACAAAATGTGAGTACCACTCTCAGGAAATGTGGATATATAAAAAAGATGAAAGTCCAATGGCTCAGGAATCTGAGTATTAACAGGGCAGCTGAGTGAGTCCGTGTTGAGCACAGCAAACATAATTAAGAGAAGTAATTTATACAGTAATGTTCCAGAAGAAGACGGAGAGAATAAAGGTAAAGATATTAGCCTTAGAAAACGTAGAGGTAAAACAGCTTCTGAAAAACACAAGAAATGGAAAAGGAGTGGGCTGGAAATCAGGACAAGTTCAGAGATTTGGAGAGAAAAGCAGGACCCCAAACCTCACACTTTTCCTTGTGGTGAAAGTCACTAAGGGAGACAGAGAAAACACTGACCGGGTGATTTCAACTTTCTCCTAGAAGCTAAAGAGTAGAAAAACAGACAGACAGAGCAAAGCCACAGAAAGTAAGGCTCCTCCCTCTTCACTAATATAAAAAGTGTAACTTGTTCCCCATGGAAAATATAAATTTCAAGTGTAAGAGTAACCAATAAATATAAATAAATTTCTAATACAAATTACATATTTATGAAGTTTCCTTTTTACCCTTGTATCACTGCAACCACTTATAAAACAACATCTAACGATATTCCTTCAAATATACTTGATATGAAAAGGGAAACTCTAAAGTTCAGAAAACAATAAAAATTAAAAGCAAGTCAGGCAGAGTCAATTGTAGCCTACTAGAAAGCGCATGCTCCCGCTTTACCTCTCGTATTTCATGGCCAGCTCCTCTGTATGATTGCAAGTCCTCCAAGATGCCTTCTGCATCTTTCAATACTACATTCACCTGGTTATAAATTTCCTTCTCAGACTCTGTAGGCTGGGCATCTAAATATCAGGAAAGCACAAGAAAATTTACAGTGATATGAATTTTTTACAACATATGTGTAACTCTAACCAATTAACAATCCAAATTTCCATAGAAGACTTACATTTTATTCAATGTTAACTTTGCACTTCTTAGAAAAGATGAATAAATTTTCCAAATTTCTGTGTTTGCACAATTAGCCTCAAGTTTATAAAATTACAGAGGCAAAAAAAAAAAAAAACCAGCAACTGGTACTATTTAACATTTAATTTAGATTATAAATCATAACCTGGTATAAATAAACCAATCTGAGAACTGTAATTAAAAATTTTAATTCTGATATTCGTATGGATCACACTTTATTATTACATTTATCACTATCACTACTGACTGTAAATGTATCAATAATGAGCTATTTTATTACAACAAAAATGAAAACCTACTAAAACCTTGTTTATCTACAGTTTCAGACTGACACTATTTTCCTATAAAGTTATTTTACTTTTAACAACTGGGTTTTAACAGAGAAAAAAATAAAAATGTTTCAAAAATATTTTTAGATGCTCCCCTTTCTAGGGACCATTTTAAATTATCTTGGCAAATATGATCAGGTAAGTTAAGAAAGGGAAGATACTGTACATACACGTAAGACAAAAATCAAGGCAGTAGCACTGAACTTCTCTGCTAATGAACACAAGTCAAGATTCCTGTGCAAAGGATTTTGTGACAGTTACAAAATTACTCCAGAATTCCTTAGACACTTTATACTACAAGACAATTATAGAAATACTAAAGCAAAAACTGAGCTCCTACACACTTACTACTGAATGAGACAAAAATGAAAGAAGAATTAGTTATAATCAGGGACACAAACATGGCCATTTTCACCACCTGTGGGATAAGCCACAAAACGTGTATTAAAGGATGATGAAATCTGGATTGCTCTTTGATAGATTTGAGGTAACACAAATCCTATTTTTACGAACTTAGTCATTCATTTCTCTAAGGACAAATGTTTTTAATCATTTCTTTTTGTTTAAAAAGGGTATGGCTGGGGCTGGGGATTTAGCTCAGCGGCAAAAGCGCCTGCCTGGCAAGCGCAAGGTCGTGAGTTCGGTTCCCGGTACCAGAGGAAAAAAAAAAA